AGTTCTAAGTAGACATGCGCGCCGCGCCGGCGCCGCCGCGCCACGCCGCGCCCTGCCCACGCCGCGCCGCGCCGACAAATCCGATCGGCGCGCCGTGAACCAACGCGGGACGGGCGCGCGGGCGCGGGGTCATTAAAACCATGCAATTATTTAAGAATTCAAAAATCAATAAAAAAATGTAAAAAGATCGTAAAAATCGTTCGGTATCGCTTACCGGAATTGAAGCGAGCGGCGGAAATAGAACAAATTAAATTTTTACAGTCTCTGGAGCGCGTATCAGAACTTTCAGTATGTATATAAAAACTACTCTGTGATCAGAACATTTGCTACTAGGACGCCTAGTGAGCGCGTTTTTTCTATAGTGGGACTAACTGTGACTGCTAAAAGATCTAGACTAAGCCCAGTACACGTTAATAAAATTATTTTTATTCATGATAATTATACATTGTGTAAAAAACACAATTTTAATTTCCTATAGTTTATGCAAGAAACAAAAAAATGTGCTTTTTCGTTTTTGCACAAATTATAAGGTATAATTAATTAGAACTTGTTTGGTTTGTTTTTATTTTGAGAAATTAAATTTGAATTCCTATCCAGGTCTATGTTTCACTTGTTACTACCTTATTTTAAATAAATGTTTATAAAAATTAAAATAAAATACGGCCGCGCCGGCGCGGCGTCGCCACGCCGACCACAATGGGTCGGCGCGCCGCCGCCGCCGAATTCATGCTCGGCGCGCATGTCTAGTTCTAAGTATGGGGAACCCCCAAAATTTATAGTTTTTTTTTTTCTATTTTTGTGTGAAAATCTGAATGCGGTTTACAGAATACATCTACTTACCAAGTTTCAACAGCATAGTTCTTATAGTTTCGGAAAAAAGTGGCTGTGACATACGGACGGACAGACAGACAGACATGACGAATCCATAAGGGTTCCGTTTTTTGCCATTTGGCTACGGAACCCTAAAAATGTGGTAAAAATGGAAACTGTTTATAAAAAAATACTCAATTTTTTTTTCATTAAGGCTTATGATAGCACACATCATGTGTGTTCCGGCACATGTGTTCTCATAGATCTGAAATAGCGGGGCTAACATAATCAACATATAATCTTGTTATACTCAGTCAGCTGACTAACCAAACTAATACCAAAGAGTTATCAAATTAACAAGAGAATGGAATATTTCTATACTTTTTATACAATTACGTATTTTCGCTTAAACAAGTAGATACTACTCGTAGCATATAAGGAAGAAATTGATAAACTTTGTTTCATATCTCCAAGTGAAAAATGTACTTAGGGGTCATTCATTAACCGCGTAAAGGTTCCGAGGGGGAGGGGTGTTAAAAAATCTTTACATACTCTTATCTTGGCGGGGAGAAGGGTAAAACCCATTTTTACGTAATATTTTGTAAGTCGAAATTTAATAGATATTAGAAATCTGGTTTTATTTCCGATTCCGAATGGGTTTCTTCATTCTAACGTACACTTCGATTTTCGTCTTAATTTTGTGTTATATTTTGATGTAGTATTCATTATTATCCATTTTTAATGGTAGGTGTAAATAATAATTATAATACGAGTACATTCTTGCCGCGTATTAATCTAATCTAAATAAAAATAATAGAATCTTACGTAAGAAGAGGGGGGGTTCGAGAAATCTTATGTACCCTTACATGGGGGTAGAGGGGGGTCAAAAATCTTACTTACTGATTGGCACCTTACAAAATAGTGGCTTTTTCTACCGACTTCAAAAAGGAGACGGTACTCAATTCGACTGTATGTTTTTTCTTATGTGTGTTACCTCATAACTTTTTACTGAGTGTACCGATTTCGATGATTCTTTTTTCATTTGAAAGCTGGTGCTTCACATATAAATCCATATAAATTTGATTAAGGTCTGACCAATAGTTTTTGAGTTATTCTTGATAATTTATATTGAAGTCGGTAGTACAAAATTTTTAATTTTAAATTATTATCAATAAATAATGAAGTCAGAACATGTTCATATGGTGTTAAAGTAGCATCTATCTATCTCCATTATACTCGTACTCGTATATCTGGAGGGAGTTCTATGTGAAAATAAAAAAAATTGCGATACGCGCTCTAACTAGTCGCATCTTTTCTGTGTCCCACTTAATATTAAAGTAGTGATACATAAATAGCTACAACTATTCGCATGAATTCCAGCGGATGGTGAAAATTAAACCACGAGTTAACACCTATTAAAAACATTAAGGCAATGAGTGAACTGACCGATTAACGTAAAGCGACCGCGAGAGCAAATTGCATTGCCTGATATTTCATCCGATCCTTGTCGGAATCGTTCAGCGGCTATGTACAAATTTATTACGACTCTTTAAGAGTCTTTATGATCTCCTAATGCATGAAAGTGTACCGTCAAACTTTTGAAATAACTTTTTAGACACAACGAGGTAAAACGGGCAAGTTTATTTCTTAACCCCAATATCACATCACCACCTACCGTTTCTCTCTTTTCAATAGAATAGAATAGAATAGAATAGAATAATTTTTATTCAATATCGATTATTACATAATTCTTATTGAAAGTCATTTTTTATCTACCACTGGTTCGGAAAATACCTCTGTCCTGTGAAGAACCAGCAAGGTACACAGCGGGACTTTTTTTTTCAAACAATTTCGTTTATACAATTTTTAAATAATTTTTCATAGAACCAGCATGGTGGCGATCACCTTATCCCAGGGGTTATTTTCATTCATGTATTCCTTGATATTATAATAATAAATGATCGAATAACCAGGTGTTTGACGAAACTTTGCACATTTGTTGAGGCACGCATTCCAACCATCAATTTGCTTTATCGTCCGTAATGTGTACAGTAAAGAAGTGGTATATTCTCCAATTTCTACCTTTCCATATTATTGATCTTTAATACAAAAGTGAATAGATTTTTATTATAAGTGCACTTCCCGTATAAGGAAAATAAAATGAAATGAAAAAACTCTCTACTTACATGAAATATAACTAATTTTACGGATTTTATAGCGCTTAATTTAACTTTTTACATCGGGACGCAAACACCTCAGACCCCCCCCCCCCTCCCTTGGTGATCATGGTGTGCTGTAAAGCACCCGAAACGTCAGAATTAAAAAGTAGAATTAAACGCGATAAAATCCATAAAATTGGTTTCATTTCATTTGTAGTCTTCTCGTAAATATAGAAAACTCTCTACTTACAGTCAATTTGAAGAAAGCAGGTTGTTCTCCATTCAACTCACATGCAGTTTCTTTTATGTATATGCGATATCTTTGACAATTGTGAACCGATTATGATGATCGGATTTAATTAAATAGTCTATACTTTTTTTTACGTGGTCGGCTCGACCGGGGATGGACCACGCTCTCACAGAATACCAGCGTAAAATAGCAGCTTAATGCTGCTGCGAACTAAATCGAGCCAACAACGTGGCGAATGTATGTACTATGTAGGCAAGTATCGGATTCGTTTTCACTTTTTAAATGTAACTAGATTCAAACGATTACCATACATAACAAAATAAAAACGCCGTGTAGCCGGCCGTAACGTAAGAATTGTAAAAGTGGCGTGCGAATTTTAAAATACATGACTTTATCAGGCCGTTTTAAAACTCAGGACGCTGCTTAAAAACTATCCAGGACATCCCAGGACACTATAAAAACTAGGGATAGGAAAATAGGACAGTTAGCAACCCTAGTTTATGGAATACAGATTTTCTATTTTCGGAACTTTCAATGTCACAATACTCCTTAAATTTTAATCAAAATTAATCAGCAATGGCTATTTTTAATTTTTTTTAAATGTTACTGGCTGATGATCATACAAAGCGGGGAACTGACTTTTCTTAAAATTAAAATCTCCCGCACAGAGTCATAGCCTTCATACTTTCGCCTACGCTTCACTACTGTTCCACTACTGTGTGAAACCTCTAAACTTTCTTACAGCAAATGCTGCAAAACTAAACTATGTTCGCTTGCTAATTTAGAGATATGGGGGCCCCATTGGAACTTCGCTTCAGTAGTAATTCCAAGAAAAGGATTGAAATCCACAAAACTCAGTTCCTCACCATTTAAGACCACATTGATGTTCAAATGTTTATCTTAAGTTGCTGTACATTTATAGATTTTGCTTTGTTGCCGCCTAAAAGTAAATTATATACATTAAACCAAAGACGTAATATATAAGAAAGAGCATTATTTGCATCGTCATTATTGATTGATTGATGATCATTGACTTCCAGAATCTAGACGAATGAAAAATTATTGATCAGTAATAATTTATAAGATTCTTAATCTGTATAAAAAAAAACTTATATAGAATAAAAGAACAAAGTTTACAGTTATGGCTGCTTCTATTTCACAGATCACTACATCACAATTCCATTGCTAAATACAGGCCTTCTCCATAAAATGTTACAAAGTATAGTCTTGAGCAACCTGCATCCATAGAATACATGCGTGTTTCATCAGGCCGTCACTCCATATAGCGGGAAATTGCCGAACAATGCGCTTGCGAGTACGAGGCTGCCACTCAAAACCTTTCTTCACCATATATAACCAGCCCACTGCCACTTCAGTCACTCTTCATCTTCTGCGGATATCATCGTTACGGATTTTCGTTGAGAAATTCCGAGCATAGCCCTTTTATACGTCCAGCAGTGGAGGACCTCGTGTCGGTTCCTCAAGTTATCCATCAATTAACAATAAACAATTCACACTTAGTTAAATTAAAAAAAAATAACAAGTAAAAATGTAGGTAAATTTCAAAACTCTTACTCTTTGTTAAAAATGGAACATATTCCATTTTCCTACAGACTTTAACACATTTATTGTCAGTTTTCAGATCTATCTTGGCTAAAAATTATCAGAGTTTGTTTGCTGTAGAGCCTATTAATCTTACCTTGAAAAAGTTACTTCTGTGTCTACTAGACTATTATACTATAATTCGCAAAAATTTTAAATAAATATTTAAGAATTCTTACCTTATTAAATCCAACAGGGTATCCGGGGTCAGCGTATCCCTTTTGATTACTTTAGTGACATTAGGCTGGCTGTACGCTTCAGGGTCATTGCCCGGCTTAATGGTGGTAACGAGAGCGATTCCCAGCATCACGGCGCATACTGTCGTTGTCATATAATAAATAATTGCACGGAGACCGACTCTGAAATAAGAAATTTTGTATGATATTTTGTACTTCCTTAACATCGCCAGCACATACAGTCTGGTGGCGATGTGCCTATCCCATAGCAGGAAAGGTTTCTCATTATATCTTTCCGTAAGTGGTAGAGCCACACATCGTTCGCTGCGTATGCTGAGTGTAGCATACGAGTGTGAGAACGAGGCATTCCATCTCAGTCCTCAGGGGTGACAGCGTATCTGCATTTTATTTCTTAAATGTAGATAAATGTATATGTCTATAGGCCAAAGCATCCACTATCTGGTGGTATGCTCGTTTGTCACACATATTTTATCAAAAAGATACCCATGCTTAGCAGGTAAACTGGCTTGGTATTTTACAATAGAAGTTTGTTATAACGCCTATCAATGAAATCATGAAGTGGGATCATTGATTCTTTTATATTTACGAGAATACTACACATTTAAGTAAAAGTAATTGATCTAAACAGATTAATCTGGAGGTAGCCGTGGTTAACTATGACATTGGGACGTCATACAATTCAGCCCTCCCCCCCCCCCCCCCGTGACCATGGGTGCTGTAAAGTGCTCAAAACGTCGGGAATATAAAATAAGTTAATATATGCGATAAAATCCGTAAAATTAACTTTATTTAAATAATTGATTCTCTTATATCGATCACTAATAAAAAAACTAGATGCACAATCCCATGCAAAAGTTTTCTAAAAACTGTCTCCAATTATTGTTTTGACGTAATTCTAGTTGAAATAAATATACATTAAAGTAAATTTAACCTTAAATGCATTGCCTAAAGTTGTATTTACATAGCTACGTACAAATAAAAAGCGCACCCCAAATATTCGAGTGGGCGCTCATTCGGTAAGGACATTTTTGCCACTGATTGTGTATCTAGTTTTTTATTAGTGATCGATGTTTTCTTATGATATTGTATAGTCTTAATCATAAACCATTTGAAAGGTCAATTAATATTCAAATTGTCCCGGCACCATTGTAGATATTTCATAAAAGTATTTATTGTGTATATCATTTAGTAACCTATGACTGTAACATGTGATTTCTGGGTCTCAACAACAACGCCTGCTATGGTTTAGATTCACACCTAGAACCTACCGGGTCCAAATGCGAATCTAAACCATCTAGGGACCCATTCCAACCCACACAAAAAAATTCATTACAATCGGTCGAGCAATTTTTAAATTTTAGCGAGACTAACAGACAGGAATTAATTTTTATATATAGAAATTTAATATATCATAATAATTATCATCATCATCAGTATCATTTGGCTTGTAAAGGACTGGAATGATGATGAAATAAAGAATAAAAGTTAATTTTAGCAAACAGCTTTTCTTCTAAATAAAACAATATAATTAGTATTTGATATAATCTAACCTAACCTAACCTTACCGTGTTAATTCCCTTTTAAGATAATATGTTAATAATGTACCAAATTAAATATTAACGAGTGTAAAAATGTGCAGGAAGGGAAAACTCGTAGTTGACGCCATCATTAATAAATTACTTTACTATAAAATTTCAATTGTCTACTTCTTGTTGACTATTAAAACATGATCTTAGATTCATCGTTAGATTTTGGCTACTTAAAACTAATTCAGACATATTAACTTGACTTCAAAAATTATACCGTCACCTAAGACGGAGAGCAGCGTGAATTACAAATAACGACGAAACCAAGCCTAGATTTAGCTTGGTTTTTTAACAGTAGGTTTAGTACGAACTGTTAGTAAAAACACGATTTTAACTGTAGGTACTAAAAAACAAACATATTTTTTACAAAAATGTAAAACTTTAAAAAATCATCAACTTACTTGCCAGACAGACTAAGATCCAAAGACCCGATGGCTGACACTATAGAAGATACCAGAAGTGGAACGATAAGACATTTAAGCATCCGTAAGAACAGTTCTCCAGGATATTGGAAGTACATAACCTCTCTCTTTGTCCACTCATGGCCTGACGCTCTCAGCCCCCATCCTAGTATTGTGCCGGCAACCACGCCGATAATGGTGAGTAGGGTAAGAAGGTTTTCTCGCAGGAAAACGAAACATTTCCGTCGGATTTCGGACGGCATTTTAGAGACTCCGTTTTTTTCTGTAAACAAAAAATATAATGAGTTGAAAAAGGACAATAAAATATCAAACATCGTTAAAACATTAACGCCTATTAGTTATTCACTTGTTAAGGAATTTATACACTTCCTACACGTCAGCTAGCGAATTATTAAGGAATTATTGATAAAATTTCTAATTAGAGTAGCGTTGCGGACTGATCACTCCATAACCTTAGAAATAATTGAGAGAATGCCTGTGAAGATTATACAAAATTATAGGAGCGAATGAAAATATTTTACAGCATTTTGTGATGAATATGTGTACATACTTAAATATTTTCAGTACTATTAGGAATAACGGCTGCGCAGTGGGGGCACAAAGGAAGTCATTATCTTGCCTCATATGGTAAAGCCATGCTGCAGCTATATTAATTGTATACTTGTACCACAAATGGGTCGGCTCGACCGGGGAAGGACCACGTCCTCAGAGAATACCAGCATAAAATAGCAGCTTAATGCTGCTGTGTTTCGTATGGTGAGTGTAGAGAACCGGAGACCCTTTTTACTGGAAACGAGGCATTCCATCTTAGTCCTCACGGGTGACAACGCATCTGCATTTTGATTAGTTTATTTATAGCATAAGGGTGACAAACGGGCTCACAGTCCACCTGATGGTAAGTGGTTGCTGCGGCCCATTCACATCATCATCTATTAAGAATCAAAATTCAGATGCGCTATCACCCCTGAGAATTAAAGTGGAAGTCCATGTTTCCAGTAAAAAGATTCTTCAGTTCTCTACACTCACCTTACAAAACACAGTAGCATTAAGCTTCTATTTTACGCTGATATTCTGTGAGAGCGTTGTCCTTCTCCGGTGGAGTCGACCCATTTGGACCACAACCATAATATAACTGCAGCATAGCTCTACCACGTGAAAATGCCCAACAACTTCTCATTACTTCTCAATTCTGCTAGAACTTATTTCTACTGCAGACTTTAGTTAAGATTTAAAACTAAAACTACTGTAACAAAGCAACAATGCATGAACAATGTTGCCAACAAGTTCATTATGAAAAATTTCGCTAGTATGAGAGTGAAATGTTCGAGTGGCGTGGCACGTGGGAGCAGCGGGGGAGCCAGCGCGGATGTCCCCGCGGAAATCTTTAGTTAGTGGTATCGCGACAGATCCGCGCACTCCCCTTCGCTCACACGCACCGCAATACGCTTTAACCACTGCCAACTACTCGCGATACCTGACAAATGTACATCCAATAGCATGAAACAGACATTTTATTAAAACGTATATACCTACAGGGTTATTTTGTAATAACCGGCCAAATTTGCAGAGAAGGTACAGAATAAGTAATATAGGCAAATGGTGAAGAAAAATTAATTTAGAAAAATCTCAAACATTCTGTCCTCTTTATCTTTTAAATTAAAAATGCGTGGTAATGCATTATTTTAACTGTCTTTACTTCGCACGCACACATTTGTAAGGGTCGATCGGTAGGCAAAAACGTTATTGTCCATAAATCACATTCAATTTGGGATAATCTATACATATAATAAAACTGTAAATAGCAGATGTCTGTACATTTTATAATTTTGTAATAAAAGTGATTGAGGGGTACTAAAAATAAGTAATTAAATACATTTCTACCATTTTTAGAATTTTCTGTCTGTCTGTCTTTCTGTCTGTCTGTCTGTTTGTTTGTTAACGTATCACGTTTAAAGTACTAATTTATATCATAAGAATTGTTAAGGAAATTCTAAAGTGTACCTTCGGGTTACATTTAGTCTTTATTTCATTAAAATCGGTTCATTCCATCAAAAGTTATGATAAATATTCTGAAGTATGGGTAGGGAATTTGCTCAACGGTGGCTATGTTTGAGTCATCAAGTTGATGTTAGCAGCGCCATCTCTCTTTAATTAAATATATACATATAATAAAAATGATGATAACATGTTGTGTCTCTTTCTGTACATTGTATATATATTTTGGTGACTAAAATCATTATGGGGAACTAAAAATAATTAAATAAGTACTTTTTTATAATTTTTAGAATTATCTGTCTGTCTGTTTGTCTGTTTTTATATGAAGGCATCACGTCTAAAGTAAACATCTTTTTTTTTCAAAGAAATCGTTAAGAAAATCATAAAGCGTATCTTCAAGTTACATTTAAACTTTGTTTTATTAAAATTGGTTAATTCTATCGAAAGTAATGATTATTATTTTAAAATGTAGGATCGAATTTGTTCAATGGCGCCATAAAAATCTCAGAAATAGTAATAAAAAGATTTTTGTGTAAAAAAAACGTTCCATAATAATTAATATATTTATACTTAAAACATAAAAAGAGTTTTAAAAAGGATGTTTTCTCACACAAAGGATGTAATAGATGGAGTTGTACAAATTACAAACTTTTCTGATTTGCTGTATTGAGATTGTTCTCCGAGGAATCGTATTGAGACTTACTGAAGAAATTTGTATCTATCGAAGCCATACAACGGAACCCGAACAAAAATAACAAAATTGCAACGAAATGTCGTGATATTGTATTTATAATATACGCAAAATCAGTACTGCCATTTTAGCGCTTTGGAAACTAGATTTAGCGCTTTTTTGGAATGTATAGCGTGCATTTCGAAATTTTAGCACCTAGCACTTAATCCAGCGCTTTTTGGTGTATTTAGCACACATTTCAAAATTGTAGCGACTAGCGGGTTATCAACTCTTTTATAGCAGCACTGTTAGTCCACATTACCGATAATAATAATAATGACCTTTATTATTTTTTTCCACAAATAGTACATTGCAGTTTATCTTTTTTAAACATATTTTTTCCACAAAACAAAGACCATGGGAAACGAGTCCAAACTAGGATACCCTGTGCTATGGATCTCCCGGCTTCCCCTTTAGGATGATCAACTTGATTTTTTTTATCGACGGCTATAAGCGGGGAAATCCCCTTCATTAAAGTTTTCGTTCATGGTTTTGGCAACGCATTTATTTTGTTTTATTCAGTTTTAGTCAGTTGTTTAGAGCACAGCTAAGTTAAAAGTTACTTAGAGTAGTACTAACTACTGTTGACAGCAATTGCCATAATTATAAGTCGATGTCCTGCGAAGTATTGATACATCAAAAAATATTGCCAGAAAAAAAACTTAATGTTGTTTTCTTTATTATGATTATATTTTCTTGAATTATAAATTATAATAAAAAACACAAACTTTGCAGTTAATTTAGCGCGAAATCTAGGGCTTTTTTAAAGCGCTGTTTTCATGAAATCTAGCGCTTTTTGTGTTGTCCTAGCGCTGAATGAGTTTTTATGATCTGGCAGCACTGCCAAAAACCCTCTATAAAGAAGTAACTTTCCTTTCAGTTTTAAGCGCGTTCAGTTCCCAGTTACAGTGAGCGTGTGTTATGCGATGACCGTAAATATAGCGCAAGGTCAAAATTTACGCGTTGTAAGAGTAGACCTCAGTACTGACTGTTTTGCACATGGCCAACTCTATGTTGCTTTTTCCCGCGTTAGTAGCCCCCGTAACCTTTTTTGTGTACACCCCGTCTAAGTCTACTTCTAACGTCGTTTACACCGAAGCTCTATCATAAACTACTTAGAACTTTGATGATAATGATTTATTTGTTACCACTTATTGATACAGTAATGATATAAATCGTTTAATATTGTCTTACCTAAACGACAAATTCTTTATGTAAAATCTATATACGCGAGCTACGCCGCGGGCACAGCTAGTTTCAAATAAAAATAGAAGTTTTATTTACTAATATTTTCAAAAACTGCTATAACGGTATATCATTATTTATATATTTAAACTTAAGTTTAACATTTGGCTAATCTTTGTTAAAAATAACCCTGTATAAACGACAAAATTATTGGATAGATAGATAAACAAGACAGATAGACAGGATAGTCGCATATTCATATCTTTCTTCACATTTCATTCATATCTAAATTCAAGGGTTTTATTAAAACCGAAACTAATAAAAGATACATTTGCTGGGCATAATTTATGCACGGGTGTGCATGCACTACTGATTCTCTACGATATACCGACCTAATTAGACCGTAATTCAGTGTACATATAGCCCACAAGGTAGCAAAACATTGATTTTCAGCTACCCGCCCGCCCAAAGTGCGGTTGCATTAATTCGTTTTTATAGTTTAAGTGAAAATAAATTTTAAATTAAAAATTTTAAAAATATGTTATATGTATAAAAACAAGTTCATTACAAAAATGAAAATATAAATCATTTCATAACATAACATAAGCTCTCACGCCTGAGCCCAGAGGGCTAGGCAGAGACTACAGACTTCCATTTGGCATGATCCTGACACAAATCCAATAGGAATTAAGAGTACTTCGTCGATTAAGGATATTCCTAACTTTGGCCATTTTCAATATATCGCCAATTTTTGTTGACAAACTTCCGCCTAGAGTGTCTCTTTCCGACTCTGCCATTTATTTCGGCAGCATAAATTTGCTTTGCCACTCTTTCCTCATGCATTCTTTCTACAAACATCGAAGCATTTCTTTTTTAATCTTAGTCGCACTATCACGATATCTGGCAAACCATACTATTCTCTTATCACATAACGTTTATTATTTATGTGAGTGCATCCGGAATAAAAGAATAAACGCGATAAATTCCATAAAACTAGTTTCATTGTTTGCGTAAATAATATGAGAAATCATTATCCAAGCATATGAGAGAAATATGTATACTAATGATTAAAAAATATTAAATTGTTGCCATATATTGCAGAAGCAAGAACAGATGACTTCTTTGCAATAATGCGTAAACGAGTATACTCCCTGCTGATTAGAATGCGTGGCAGCCACAACAGTATTCTGAACATGTTCGCCGAACGATGTGACGGGCATATGCTAAGTCACTGGAATAGTATATTAAAAAGTAATTTTACATATTTAAGAAACTAACATTAGTATTTAAGGTGTATAATGTATTACTAACAAATTATGGATCAAGGTCTGAAATAAAGGAATTATTATTAT